CCTCCCCGCTCCGCTTCTCCCTCAGCGGCCCGGGACGGACGGGACCCCCCCCCAGCCCCTCCCGGGGAACCCGTCCTGGCGTCCCGCGGGGCTACGGGCTTCTCCCTGCACCGGTTTCCAGGCTTCCACGAAAAGTGAGCCCGTCGTTGCCCCGGCGAACGCGACTGCGCCTGACTCGGAGCTCCCCAACCCCCGCCCCCGCCATCTTAGGGGTCGTGGCGCCGGCTGGGCCGCAGGCTGAGCGCTGAGGGAGGAGGGCGGCTTTCAGCGGGGGGTGTGTGGAGAAACCAGCAAAAAAAAGGCTCTGGACTTGCTTGAAATACTAAGTAATGATCCCTGTCAAACCCTGCGGGGGGGGGGGGGGGGGTCTAGTACCAAGATACGCCCCTGATGGAAAAGTGCAAAACATTGAAGTGTCACTTTGGGCTTGGGATGTTTTCGCACACCGTAACCGACGCGGTTACGCATGGTTTTCTTTTCACCCTCTTCTATAAACTTCGCAACTATCATGTCCATTCTTAGATACTGTAAAGCAGCTCTTTATTTTACGTTTAGCTGAATCTGACTTGTTTTAAGAGCCATTTGGGATATGGGAAGACCCTAAGTCACGCTACTGCTGCAGAGTAACAATCCTGAAAACCTGGATTCCCAAACACTCTCACAACACTCGCACCCTGTTTTTCAGTGTATCCAACAACGATTTAGACAGAGGGGCCAGCACGGAACACAATACTACAAGAGAACTGTATAAAGAAGCGTGTATGCTGGTGGCGGTGTCAGCCAAGAAAATCCTCTGGCAGACAGTGGAAAGAGCCTAGAGTCCTGGAAGAGTAATTTAGGATTTATACCGTAGGATTTTTACACCCTAACTGGCTCAGTTTACCCTCTATTGGAGCAAAAATGGAGGTACCCAAAGAACACAAGTGTTTCCAAAACACAAAGCAACAGCCAATGGCTAGTAGTGGAAAAGTTAAGATTGTTTCATGAGTTAAAGATCTGGAAATCCTTCAGGACAGGGCTTTTGGTAGGGAAACTGAATCTGAATAAACTAGCAAAGAATAGACTCAGCCTAACTACACGCATTTAATGGATATACATTTTTTCAATCTCTAGAAATGACCTGACTGGGATCAGAAATGGGCAATACTGTCCCTGTGAAAGACTGAACAATGTTTGTGTAGTGTCAATGCTTTTTGTTTTGCATTTCAGAATGAGGAAGTCATGCTGTCAGGAAACCTGTTGTGCAAGAGCACAAAGTGCCTGGTTTTTGTCATTCTCAAGTCAGAAAAGTCATATGATTTTAGAAGTTGAAATTTCAGAAAAAAAAAGAGCATTTTCCACCTTGACTGTTTTTCAAAGTCCTGCTTTAACTTGCTCAGAAATATACTGATACAGTGTTACCCCAGTGAACACAGTTCACTGGAGTTAGTGTTCAAATTCACAAGGCAGAATAAAAAACTATTAAAAAATTTCCTAAAGTATCAAAAATAGCTTCATGAAACAATAGGGAATGTAGAGAACAAAAAAAAAGGAAAATGAAAAATACATAATTAAGATATCTAGATCTCAGAGACTATGCTGCAATTATTTAGTGATATATTACTAGAGGTATTTTTTCAGAATAAGTAAGATTAGTAAGAAGGGTAAGAATATTTTACAAAAAGGTTCCAAAAGAACTCGGTAGTGTGAATGAATCAGATTGACGGGCCTTATACTTTACAGCTTCTTCCTTTTGTCTCAGACCGGTTTGTCTTTCAGCAGGTTTTGTGCCATCTTGACGCAGCTGAGGTTAGTAGTGAAATCTCTAATGACTTGCATAGGGCTTGGATTTTATCCTTGAGTGGTCAGCCTGGTTAGTTGCATTTCTCTCCAAGGGAATGAGTAGCTGTAAGTCTCCTGAAAAGGATCAAGTTTTTCTCAAATTATGCAAATAGGTATGCTGGAAAGTGGTTAGCAAACGTGTTTAAGGTAAACCAATGTTGAAATAACCTGTTATAATGAAATACGCTCTGAAGTCTGGATTAGCTTGCTTTTCCGTTACCAGCCAGCAGCTTCTTCCATGCAGAACCTGCTGACTGTGAATCCAACTGCATTTCCACCAGGAAGGTTGGTACTTTGGTGTTTGAGGGGTAGAATGGTTAGAATTGTCTAAAAAGATCACGCGCCTTGTTTATCTTATTCTCATCCTATCTCCTCCCTAAATCTTACTTGTAAAGGGAGAAACAGAAACTTCTGCGCAAAACAGCAAGCACCACTTTCTTTTTTAGCATGCAACAGGAACTGGTATTAATGAAAGCACACAGTGTGCTATGTATCTGACTGAGGCAAGTTTTCCCCACATCCTCTCCGGAGATGGAGGTCTTGTCTAGTCTCAAGCTACAGGAAACAGCCATGCTATCTCCCCAAGATCCTTCCACGGCGATGCAACTGAGCAATTTATTCAGGGAGTTATGGGACCTCAGCTGGACTTGTACTGATAGATAGCATGTTTTTATTTGCATCTGAATTTCTGAATATCCTCTCTCCTTGGAGGCTGGACAGAAAGGCTCAATGTGGGCACCACTCTTTACTGTTCAACTAATCAAACTCTCTTCTCGTATTTTAATTTTTGATTTCCTCCTTCGCTGGGAAGATTCCTTGAATTCCTGTGTGAATGCCTCCCTAATGCCTCAAAGGTTCTCTGTTTATAATAAATAAAAGAGGGAAGGAGAAGAACTGCTTATTCCACATTAAAATGCAGTGAGTATTTAAATCCAAATTGTATCTCCAAATTGTATCTCCTGTCACGTCTCTGGAGCAAAATACAGAAAATGCAATTAATATTCAGTATTGACCTGTAATTTTTCCAGATTAGTCTTTGGACAATATTCAGGATGCTCTTAGCATTTTCAACTGAATAATTTCTTCCCAATACTTAGAACTTGCATTGATATTTATGAGTTCACAGTTGCTTCTAGATTATTTTTTTCAAGCAACTTACAATTACAGTTTATCAACACTAGGCCATGTTGAATTGTTGAATTCTGCTCAGAATTTGGGGCAAATGCAAAATTAACAGTTTCACATAATAAAACTACATTAATTTCCATATGCTGGAAATAAAAGGACTGTGATTTTCCATTATTATCTTTGAAGACGTATTTTAGGTCATTAGAACCCTATTCCTGTAAGCTAATACATCTCATCTGTCATTTGTAATTATGCAATTTGATGAATGTGGGATTTAGACATAACTAATTATCTGCCTGCATCCACAAATCATCTATATCATGCATGCAAATAATTTGGGGTATAAAAGTTATAGAAATAAATGTTGGGAAAAAAAATCCAGCCAGGCCTCAATTTTATAACTTTGTGTTTTGGGTACAGTAGAAGTCCCTTTGGTGCTGATCCCGCACTATACTTAAATCAGTGTTCTTGGATGCAGTATCTCAGGCTCTAAAAAGAAACCTGGGGAATTTAAATTTTTCTTTAAAACTAATGGGGGTTTGCACGATGAGCAGGCGTTTTTCTTACATGTCACAATCACAGTTTTGTCTTTTGGCACAGTCTTTTGCACTGTTCAGAGGCGATTCTTTTCATGGCATCTTGGTTTCTGAACCTTTAGCACACACCCATGCCAGGTTTCCACATTTTTTCCCACGACCGGATGAACGAGAAACTTTGCAATTAGCGCTCTCGACTTTTTCCTCGTAGACACGCAGAGCTGGTCTACGGGCGGTCACGTAGCGAGAGGCGTGTGACTGTGTCAGCTGGCATATATACCAGGGCTGTAGCTGGGGACGGGACTTGTGAGATGGTTGGGGCTGTGGGGCAGCTGAGAGGAGCTTTTCCTCTGTCGTGCCGTGCCTGCCGCTCTGCCTGCTCTCTGCCTCCTCCACCGACGAGGATCACCCGCCAGGCCCCTCGCTTGTGCCTGGTTACACATCCATGGAACAGGAGGGAAGCGCTCGCACCGCATCCGTGACAGAAAAACCGTGTTAGTAGCAAGAGTCGGTTCCGGGTGGGTTTTGCTCAGTGTGCAGGGCACGCAACTTCAGTCTCTCGGTCTTTCAAAACAGAAATCTGCGATCTATCACAAGTCTCATATGAAGAAGTCACGAATCCCATTTTTGAATTCACATAGCCTTTGTTTGGATGCAGTTTATCAAAATGAAGGTGACAGAGGAAAAGAAGACTGGTCAGGTGTTACTCTTGCAAATAATGGAATAACCTGCGTAATGGACTTCCACTGTGCGCTAGAACATCTGTTTGCTCATATCCTCGTACAACCTCGGTGGCGTCTTCGGTAAGCCCCTAGCAAGCAATGTTTAACAACTTTGTTGCCAACTCGTGCCTCCTCCTTGTAAGCACCATTTTGCTGCCAAGTTGAACCGACTGGTGAGGACGACCACATACGCTCCGGTCGGTGGGAAAGCCACGGCCTGCGCCCACATCCAAGTCCACAGGGGCTGCCAACACGGTTAGCGGCTAGTTCTGTGAGTTATATTCCTTACTGGCTCTCCGGTGTCTGCGTGCGGACCCCGGCGCAGGCCGCTTGTCCTCTCTGCCCTGAGATTCCTCAATTCCCAGTAACAAAGGTAATTCTGAAGCATCCAACCTGTTGAATACCCCGCCTGCGGAAGGCGCACAGCTTATTTAACACGGCCGCCTTTTACTTAAACCTCTCCTCCCCTCAGAACACCAAAGGCTCTCAATTACCTTCCCTAAGAGTGCCACCAAGTGACCGCCCGGAGGAGGAGGCCGCCGCCCTGTCCCGTCCCCGCTTGCGCACAGCCCTGCGGAGACCTGCGCTGGCTGTGCTGAGGGAACGGCTCCGGCTCCGGTCCCGGTGGGGAGCACCATGCTGGCCACCCGGTAAGGCTGCCCGGTCCCCGCACCGCTTAGCCCGCGGCCTGACGAGGGAGGAGGAGGAGGTAGCGGTTCCCCCGCGGCACGGCGGGGGTGAGGCAGGGCCCTAGGCCGCCGCCGCCGCCGCCCTAACCCGG